AAATGGTTGTATCTTTGTACTTGGGAGGCAGATACGGGAAGATTGCAAGACTTGGGCTGAATAGTGAAACCCTGTCTCAAGCAATTTTTGAAAAGTTGTTAAAAATCCCCAGGGTTGGCGCATGTCTTCAGTCCTAGCACTCAGAAGGCAGAGGCAGGAAGATCTCTGTCAGTTTGAGGCTGGCCTGGTCTATAAAGTGAGTTCCAGGACAGCCAGAACTATGTAGAGAGACTGTCTCAAAACAAACAAAAAAATCCCCGGGGGGTTGGGGGTTAGGGTGGGGAGGGGTTGAGAGTTGGCTCAGTGGGTAACAGCACTGACTATTCTAGCAGAGGACTTGGATTCCATTCCTGGCACCAAACAGTGGCTCACAGCCACCTGTAGTCCTGTTCCAGGGGACCCAATGCCCTCTTCTTACCTTCACAGGAACCAGGGACACAAATGGCAAATATACACACAGGCAAAACATTCATACAATAAAAATAAACAAAGATATACATTTTTAAAAAGTCCCCAGAGTTTCCTGAAGCAGAACAGGCCTGACCTTTGTCCCAACCCCTCCGGTCTGAACTTCTAACTTGAACTTAATCAGCATGACACCTCACCAAATGAGCTCGGCGGCCAGGGGGTTCAGATTATACAACAGTCTTGCTTTCTTCACACATATATTTTAAAAACATTTGTTCAATTGTTTGAGATAGAATCTGTCTATGTGAACCTGGCTGTCTTGGAACTCACTCTGTAGACCCACAGAGACCTTCCCCTTCTGCCTCCAGCGTGCTGGGATTAAAGGAGTGACACACTGTGCCTGACAATATTTCTGTGTGCATGAGTGTTTTGTCTACATGTATGTCATATGCACCACATGTGTGCCTGGTGCTCCAGGGGACAGAGAGGCCCTGGATGCCCTGGAGCTGGAGTCACAGACAGTTGTAGGCCACCATGTGGGTGCTTTGCAAGAGCCAGCCAGTGCTCTAAACCACTGAGCCAACTCTCCAGCCACCTGTGGTTTTTACTTTAAGACTAAACTTTAAAATTATTTGAGTTCCTTGCCTAGGATGCCCTATTTTTCAGTAACAGGCACTAAGAACAGATCTCTTTCCCCCCTCAGGATGCGTAGGACTCAAAAATCTATTTTGAGTGAACAAATGTATTCTTAGCTGAATGTAATTTCCCAAAGTAGAGAAATAACTTCTGCTGCAAAGTCTAGGGCCACAAGACCAGTTATGCAGGCAGGTCTTTCCGTACACAGTTACTGAAGTTTTTACCTTGCTTGTAGACTGTAAGGGGGACTCTGAGCTAGAGAAAAGAAAAGGCTCTTAAAGGAAGTGGAGATGAAATTAGGTCCCATGCCAGCCTCTGCTCACCATAATCTTTTGAGCTTTGGACGGATTACTGACAAGCACAGGGAACCAAGCGACATACTCCAGTCTTCACCCAAGTTTCAGGTCCTGAGGTGTGTGCGTATAAAGGCGGGCTGTGAATGCCACTGCTGAGTGTTTGTTCTTGGATTAAGCAGGATTCAGATTCTTCAGTTACGCAGAATCCATAACCAGGTCACATATACTAAGTCATTGTTTTTTTTTAAATAGGGTCAGTCTCAATGCATAGTCCAGGCTAGTCTAGAATTCGCTATTCTCCTGCCTCAGCTTCAGCATGTACCATGCTGCTTTTGCTACCCTTTTCTTCAATAATTTTTAAGGGTGTGTGTGTGTGTGAGTGTGTGTGTGTGTGTTGCAACACAATACGGTAATCCAGAGGACAGCTTGCAGGAGGTCTTTCTTTTCATGTGGGCTCAAACAGCTTGACAGATGGTTTATCTGCTGAGCCATTTCACTGATGGTGCTGGCAATTTGTTGTCAATTTGACACAGGTTAGAGTCATCTGAGAGGAGGGTGCCTCAGTGGAGAAAATGTCTTCATAAGATTGGGCTGTAAGCAGCCGGGCGTTGGTGGCGACTGCCTTTAATCCCAGCATTCGGGAGGCAGAGGCAGGAGGATCTCTATGAGTTTGAGGCCAGCCTGGTCTACAGAGCGAGTTCCAGGACAGCCTCCAAAACAATACAGAGAAACCCAGTCTTGTAAAACCAAAAAAAAAAAAAAAAAAAAAAAAAGATTGGGCTATAGGCGAGCCTATAGGGCATTTTCTTAATTAGTGATTGATGGGGGAGGACCCAGGGCACTGTGGATGGGGCCATCCCTAGGAAAGTGGTCTTGGGTTCTATAAGAAAGCACACTGAGCAAGCCATGAGGAGCAAGTCAGTAAGGAGCACTCCTCCATGGCCTCTGCATCAGTTAACTGCCTCCAGGTTCCTGCCCTGATCCCTTCAATGATGAACTATGATGGAGAGGCATAAGTAAACCCTCTCCTCCCCAACTTGCCTTCGGTCACAGTGTTTTATCACAGCAACAGTAACCCTAACTAGGACACGGTCTTCTTTACCATGCTCTCTGCCTTATTTTTTCTTGTAGAGCTCAAGAGTTGGGATCCAGGATCTCATATATTAGGAAAGCACTCTACCGTAGGTCTAGGGGGCCCAGCGCCCTACCTCCACCTTTTAATTATATTTTGTTACTAGTTTTAAACCAGAACCACAACCCAAACATTCACACATGGGCGGGGTTGTGGAGAGGAAGGCCATATGCAGCACTGGCTACCTCGTTGGCCTTCAGATCCTGGAAAGATAAACACTGACAGCAGGTCTCTGGGACAGAGGCAAGCAGAACACAGGTATCCATTCAACTCCTGAGACTCTGATCTTCCTTCCCACAATTGCTTCGGTGCCAGCCCTGCGCTCGAACATCCAGCCACGCCTCCAGCCTCTCAGGTCATGTTTTCTTTGCGCTTGTTTTCTCTGGTTCCTTTCTTCAGTTTCTGCTCTTTTCCCGTAAACCACACTCTCAGGGATCTCTGCTTCCTTTAAACACTTCTTGTTTGCTCTCTGCCCTCTTAGTCTATTTTTTAAATGCTGGGTTCCTTTTTCCTCTTTTCATCCTTTCCTCGCTAACGTGCTCATCTGCAGACGGATCGTGGACACAGAAGAGAAACACTCAGGCAGAGACGCTAGTGGCCACCCTGAAGCCATTCTACCCTTCAGTTTCTCTCAAGCTGAGATTCTTAAAACAAAACCTAACTGCGCAAAAGCACACCCCTGGAGAAGGCCAGGGAGAAGTGTCACTAGTCACCACCACTAACAGGAAGCAGCACCACACATGTCAACACGAACTCACAAGTCTGTTAGCAACTCGTGAAATGTGGGGGGGGAAAAAACTTAATTCTTTTTGTATATGTGTGTTCATGTGTGTGCGGGTGCACGTGGGGGTCAGAGATCAATGCCAGGTGTCTTCCTCAGTCACTTTTTTTTCAAACATCTTGCACTTTTACATAAATTAGTGCTACATGCAAATGACTAAGCATGGGGGGGAAAGTTCAGTTCACAGTTTCCATTGTTTACACTAGAAAAATTAATTTTTATTTATTATGTATACAGTGTTCTGTCTGCATGCATGCCTGTAGGCCAGATGAGGGTATCAGATCTCATTATAGACGGTTGTGAGCGGCCATGTGGGTGCTGGGTTTTGAACCCGGGTGCTTTGGAAGGGCAACCAGTGCTCTTATCTGCTGAGCCATCTCTCCAGCCCCGAAAAATTAATTTTTAATAACGACTAAAATCTGCCTCCTAACTTGAGGGATCAAGGCGCTGCATATACACATTTGTATTGATTATTTGGGAATTTCATATAATGCAAGATATATGGAATGCTTCATGAATTTTCGAGTCATCCTTATGCAGTGGCCATGCTGATCTCTGTATCGTTCCAGTTTTAGTGTAGGACCTGCAAAGTGAGCACCCTTAGCCACTTCCCATCTTCGTCTTTGGGACAAGGTCTCTCACTGAACCTGCCGCTTACCTATTTGGCTAGACTGGCTGGCCAGCAGCTCTCAGCTAATCTCCAGTCTCTGCCTCCCCAGCACTGGGGTTACAGTCCTGAGCGCCATGGCCAGCAGCTCTCAGCTAATCTCCAGTCTCTGCCTCCCCAGCACTGGGATTACAGTCCTGAGCGCCATGTCCAGCTTTTTACATGGGTGCTGGGAGAGCCAAATTCAGGTCCTTGCTGCTGACGCACAAGCACCTTATCTAATGAGGGAGCTCTGCAGGCCCCACCCTTTTGTGTTGCTGTTTTGCTTGCCTTAAGCTTATGGCACATCTTGTCTCCACTTGTGAACTCACAGGAGTCTTCCTGCTTCAGCCTCCTGAGTGCTGGGATCACAGCTGTGAGCCACCATGACAGATAAACTAAGAGCCTTGCATAGCCTGGAACTCAGAGAGATGAGCTTACCTGACTTTTGAGAGATTAAATGTGTGTGCTACCATATCTGACATGAAGTGATTCTTTCTCTCATATATATATATACATATATATATACATTTATAAATATATAATCACATACCCATACATATTTTATATACAGAAAAATATATAATTTTCTTTGTATGAGTGGTTTGCCTGCATGTATATATGTGTACCATATGAACTCCTGGTGTTCCAGGAGGCTAGAAGAGGGAGTTATAGATGGTCATGAGCCACTGGGAATTGAACCTGGGTCCTATAAAAGAACAATATGTGTTTTTAATCAGTGAGCCTTCTCTTCAGCCCCTGAATCTCTCTCTCTCTCTCTCTCTCTCTCTCTCTCTCTCTCTCTCTCTCTCTCTCTCTCTCTCTCTCTCTCTCTCTCTCTCTCTCTCTCTCTATCTATCTATCTTCTATGATTTTTTGAGACGGGGGTCTCTAACAGCCCTGGTTGTCCTGGAACTCACTCTGTAGATCAGGCTGGCTTCAAACTCACAGAGATCTTCCTGTCTCTGCCTCCTGCCACCATCGCCCAGGCTGAAAGTGACCCTTCCTGGCATTATGTCTAGGACGGCCCAAACAGGTAATGCTGCATCATGTGGGACTGGAAACAAGAGTCTAGGACTCGGAGTGCAAGTGCCACCGTACCTTCACTGTTCTGGAAGGAGAACTTTCCGGAAGATTGGAGGTTCTGGCGTCAGGACTCAGTGGCTTAGGGTACACAGGCTGCTGGGCCTCACTCTTCACCGGGGAGTTACCTGATTGAGTCACAGAGGGCAGGCATTTTAGAGTAGATCAGGGCAAGGTTCTCTCAGAAGGCAAACATGGGTATTTCCCACTGGGGACTGGTCCTTTTAGCATCAGGAAGATACTGCTTTTCTGTTGAAGAGGATCTAAATTGAAAGTGTCTGGGCTTCCCCTAGGAGTCAGACTGTCAGTAGGGACTTTCTCTGCAGCACACAGCTGGGATCCAAGCCACCCATATAACATTCTGCTCTGAAGTGTTTGCCATTTCTTAAGGCTGCGGGTATAGATTTTGATGTTTTAGTAGTTGGCACTCTCAATAGCTTCTGGTGTGCTTCAACTGAAGATGGGGAAAATGAAGGAATATTGTTGAGTCTTTGTAGGTCATTCTTTGAAAAAAGATTTTTAGATACAGGGTCTTGTTCTGGTTGGCCTGGAATTTGTTAAGTAGACCAGGCTGGCCTCAAACTCACAGATCCATTTTGCTTCCCCCTCCCAAGTGTGGGGATTGAAGGGGTGTACCACTGTGACCACTTGCCTGTTCTGGATTATTTTAAAAGCAGATATCAATTATGCAAATACCACATAAAGATTTTCTTCCTAATTATTTAAGTAACAGCATATGAACTAATTTCTTGCCAGCGTGTGTACCTCATGATGAAACTCAGGAGATACAGAAAAGCCTTTCATACAGCTGCTAAGAGACCATTTAAACAAAATTCTCGAGTATAGAGTTGGGCTGACAAGATGGTTCTACAGGTAAAAACACTTGCCACTGAGGCTGAGGACCTGAGTTCAATTCCCAGTATCCATACAGTGAAGGAGAGTGCAGATTTCTGCAAGCTGGCCTGAGTCCACATGAAAACAAATGGATTAAAATGTTTTTAAAGCCTAAAGTCAACAAAGTAACAAAGCACTAAAGGGTTATGGTCTGTTTCTGGAAAAAAGAAAAAGAAGGAAGAAATGTATTGCAAACCCAATTTAAAAAAAAACACAAACAAAAACAAAACCCCTTTAATTCAAGCAAACGAATGCAAAGCAAAAAGTACTCTTGATTTCAGCACTGAGCTTTTTCGGGCAATCAAAAGGGAGGTTTATTAGAAATCTGCTTGACTTAAGATCCTGCCTCAGTTTTGAGGGTTTCTGTGTTCAGATTTGTTGTGGGGGAAGCTAGAAATCTATACATATTTAAGAACAATTCACTGAGCTAGGCAAAGTGGCACAAGCCTTTAATCCCCACTTATAGCAAAGGAAGGTGGATCTCTGTGAGTTCAAGGCCAGCCTGGTCTACATAGGAAGCTCCAGGACAACCAGGGCTACACAGAAAAACCCTGTCTCAAAAACAAAAAGCAAACAAACAAAAAACCAGTACACTGAAAAATCAGCAGTGGTAACGGTATCACAAGCATTGTGGCACATCCCACATCTCTAATTGTGGCACCTAGGAGGCGGAGGTAGGAGAGTTCAGTATCTTCTATATAGTAAATTCTAGGCCAGTCAGTATACAGTGAGACTGCGTCAGAAAAATAAATAAATAAAAATAGAAATAATAAAAGTAAAACCCAAATCTTTTGAGAAACCAGGCTTACAATTACTCCAAAACAAGATAAAATTATGTCAAAATTTAACACTTTGAGGCCTTTAAAATGTTCCTAATAATTAATACCCTTCTTGAACACCCTCTATTGAAGTAAGACTTCAAGATCAGTTTATACAGCTTTGGACCTGGAAGAGTCTAGTGCAAAAGGTGTAAGTTCAATGAGAGAAGTGTTGCTAAAAGTTATTCTTTTAGTAAGGGCTGAAGGGATGGCTCAGAAGTTAAGAATACTGGCTGTCCTTTCAGAGGACCAAGGTTCAATTCCCAGCACCTACATAGTAACTCCTGTCTGCAACTCCAGTTCCAAGGGATCTGATGCCAGTGTCGTGATAGGCACTACAGGCACATGGTCTACAGACAACATTAAGGCATACACCTATATAGATAAAATAAAAATAAATAAAATCTCAAAAATTAAAAAAAAACCACCCGTGTTCCATGTTAACTATCTATAATTTAACTTCCCCTGAGCTATGGAAAGTGTGAAGGGCATTCGAGCAGCAGTCCTGGAAACAAAGGGGAAACCCAGTGGAAACTCCGATGAGCTCCAATACTGGGTGTGCTGTGTCCCTTCCTCAACAGACAGCAGCAGGGACCCCACCACACAGAGCTAAGAGCAAATGCTTACAGGCATCATCTTCAGCAGGGCCAGAATGGGCCAACAGGCTATTCTCAGTTGCAGAAACCTACAAGGAAAAAAAAAAGATTAAAGGGGATTAAGAAGCGCATTAAAAATAAAAGAGCAAACTGCTGCCAATGCCATAAAAACCTGCTGACTCCAGTTAGTCACTGGCTGCCTGAGGGGAAATAACGGCCCCAGAACAGCTGAGCATTTAAACAAGAGGCAGCAAACGTCTTTTACGAGGGTATTAACGTGCCTCTCAATTAAGGGGGAGCACTAGAACAGACTGCATTCCGCTGCCAAGTGTGCAGCGGCTCCCTCATAAAGAATTTCCAAGCCATATGTATCCCAGGAAGCAAAAACCAAATAACCCGTGTCAAGGAGAGCAAACCCCTCACATGTCGACTGTCACCGAATACACGCCACAGCAAGGGAAAGGAACATATTTAAGCACAGGAGTTATTTGTACTCTTGTTTCCATTTGTGTGTGGGGGGGGTAGAGAAGCTGAGATTTGGGAGCAAAGGGAGGAGGATCAGGAGTTGAAGATAATCCCTTGCTATACTGTGAGTTTGATGTTAGCCTGGGCTACAGTAAACCATGTCTCAAAAAAAAAAAAAAAAGATATAAGTTAAAATAAATAAAAGAAAGAAAACAGAAAAGAAGAAAAAAAGGGAAATGGGTGAAGAGTTGGCCCATCTGTTAAGAGCACTGGCTGCTCCGTTGAAAGACCCAGATTCAATTCCAAGCACCCACATGGTGGTTCACAATCATCTGTAACTCTAGTCCCGGCAAATCAACCCCCACGCCCTTTTTGGTTTTTCAAGACAGGGTTTCTCTATGTATATCTTTGGAGGCTGTCCTGGAGCTCACTTTGTAGGCCAGGGAGGCCTTGAACTCGCAGAGATCCACGTGTGCCGCCACCACCACCTGGCTAAGAAGCAGATCTTATGCATAAGTATATATCTTTTCCTCAGAATCTACAAATTTAAATAAAAAACTACCTCTTTCCCCCTCTATATAGCCCCTAGCCCTTCTTGGTGTATATTGACAATATCTAAGATCATGACGCTAGATTTAATGGGTGATACTAAGTGTCTACATCAAGATATCTCAAGAAATGAATACATTTACAATGGAAACTAAGTTGTTGGCTGACCACACCTGATTGCCAGCATTTTCCCCTACTCTCTTTTCACTACAGGAATTCTACCTTGGCAAAGAATAAACTGGAACGATCACAGTTGACATTTACCGAGTGTTTACTGCATCTGGGTGCCAGGTATTGGGTCAATCGCCTCCACATGCCATATTTCATCTAATGAAAGTTGTCCTTGGCTATGAAAAGACCTTCACTGCTGGCTGGTTGGCACATGCCTACAGTCTCAGCACCCGAGAAACAGAGGCAGGAGGGGCCAGTAATTCAGGGTCATCCTTGCTTACACAGTAGATTAGAGGCTAGCCTGTGCTACACGAGACCCTGTCATCAAAAACCAAACTGAACAAAAAAGACTCCCAACTCTTGTGAATCTGTAGGTGCATCCATCCTGGGATGTTCTTCCCTCTCCTGTAGCCTGGTCCCTTGAACACTCAATGTAACTGCACGTGGGTGGGCAGATGTCATTACCGAAGGAACTTCAGGCAGGAGCACTAGAGACCATGCTTAGACATCTCACTGTAGGAAAAGCAGCAGCTTGACGATGCATGGCATTTCAAGAAAGTTTCCTTGGGGCTGGAGAGGCTGCATTGCTGTCAGGAGCACTGGCTGCTCCTGCAGAGAGAGAATCTGGGCTCAATTCCCAGCACCCACACGGTGGCTCACAACTACCTGTAACTTATGATCTGGGGGAAGCCAGTGCCCTCTTACATTTTCAAAGGGTAAATAGCAGCATGTGTGTGCGTGTGTATTTGTTTTTTAAAAGACTGTTTCCTGTAGCATTAACATCTTTTTGTAGCAGACCAAAGTTCAAACAGCTTAGGTACTGGTTAACGAAAGGCAGCCCAGGCACTGAAAAGCCTACATCTGGCAAGATGTGCTTAAAAAGTATTTACCACCTTTATCTCCTCCTTCCCCACCCACTCCCTGATTTATGATTCACTTGCAACTCGTGATCTTTTGCACTGTAATTAAAATGTTCTGATCTTGCCGTGCAGCCCAGAGTTCTAATTTCAAATCAAACCGGCATGAAGACAATCAAGAATAAAGCACAAGAACAGTGCTTGGATTTTTTTTTAAAACTCATATACTATAAGGAAAATTCCAAACATATTTACTTGTCAAATTTGAAAAACAGCTTTACCACCACCTTTAATTACAGTACTCAAGAGGCAGAGACAGGTAGATCTAGGCAGATCTCTGTGAGTTTCAGGTTAGCCTGGTCTACAGGGTAAGACCCTGTCTCAAAAAAAAAAAAAAAAAAAAAAAAGATGTCTACTGCTGTGAAGATATGTAAAATTTATCATTACTATTTAAGATTTTTAAAAAATTGTTTATTTGTATTTTACATACATTGATGTTTTGCTTGCATATATGACCGTGTGAGGGTGTTGGATCCCCTGGAACAGTAGTTACAGACTATTGTGAGCTGCCATGTGGATGCTAGGAATTGAACCCAGGTCCTTGGAAGAGCAACCAGTGCTCTTAACCACTGAGCCATCTCTCCAGTCCCAAGATTTTTTTTTTTTAACAAACTGTCTATGTATGAGTTCTTTGCCTGCATGCTTGTATGTATGTATACTATGTGCACACCTGGTGTGCATGGAGGCTCAGAAAAGTGTGTAAGAGCCCCTGGAATTTTAGTTGCAGACATTCCTAAGCTGCTATGTGGGTTCTGGGAACTGAATCCAGATCTTCTGAAGAGCAGCCAGGGCTCAAAACTGCCAAACCCGGTGTAAAATTTATTTGACGAATCTATGATGGGCAAGTACGCTGTCTACATACAGTTGTTACTTGCTGCATCTAGGCCGCCCATCTCATGATTAAGGCGTGCATCCCAAATGTGATTTTCTGGAACTCTTTCCACGGCTTCTCACCGATGTCTGATTATATGGAAGCCCTTGAGGACAGCCTAGAGGGCTTTTCCAGATCCTCGCTACCTGTCTCTCAGCACTGCCCATTTACCACTACGACCTCGACAAGTCACTCAAACAACAGCTCCTAGGAAGCCCATCTCAGGTTTCTGCACTCTGCTGTGCCTGGCTGTCTACTCTCCACTCACTTGGCCCATCCCTGCACATTCCTCACGGCTGGGCTCAGACACCATCTTCCTGAAGAAGTCAGGCACACTAGTTCTCAACTAGCATGGCCCCACTCTCTTAGGGTACCTACCATCCAGGTTTTTGATGGCTTACGTATTAGGAGGCCACCGTTTGTGGGCTTTCTTGCACATGAAGGCCACGTGGGAGAGAGACAGGGAGAGAGATGGGGGCGGTGAGGACGACTATGAATGAGGATGAACGTGTGTGGTATTTTTCTTTGTTTTCAAACAGGTCTTGCTGGCCTCAGACTTCCTGCATCACCACAATGGCCTTGCACGATGTCACCATGCTGGCCTTAACCTCATGATCCTCCTGCCTTTGCCTCCTGCATTGTTCTGCAATTGTCGGTATTGGCTACTATGCCTGGCTCTGCTTTATATTAATTAGGTAATTATTACATGTGTGGGGGTGAGGACATACTACAGCAGACATGTAGAATTCGGAGGACAGCTTGCTGGAGCTGGTTCTCTCCTATCATGTGAGCCCTGGGGACTGAGCTCAGGGCTTCAGCTCTGCCTACGAGTGCTTTTTCCTGGAGAGCCATCTTGTTGGCCCAGTCTTCTGTTTCTTTTTCTTTTTTTTCGAGATAGGGTTTCTCTGTATTGTTTTAGCGGCTGTCCTGGAACTCACTCTGTAGAACAGGCTGGCCTTGAATTCACAGAGATCTGCCTGCCTCTGCCTCCCGAGTACTGGGATTAAAGGCGTGTGCCACCAACACCCTGCAAGTCTTCCGTTTCTAAGCTTAGCATTTCCTATGCTCAACATAGTACCTGGGATGCTAAAATGCTTTGCGGGTTGAAGATGTAACTTGGTGGTGGAACACTGGCCTAGCGTACGCATAGAAAGCCAAAAACAAATAACCTCGGGGAAAAGAATAACATTTTTAACCAAAAAAAAAAAAGAAAAGAAAAAGAAAAAGAAAAACTGCCTTGAGCCAGAGCAGTGACATGAACTGGCAGCCTCAGTTATTTAAAAGGTTGAGGCAGGAGGATTGCTTGAATGTACAAGTTCAAGGTGGGCCTGGGACACAAAGTGAGACCTTCATCTCAAAACAAAATTAAGACAAAACAAGCAAATGAAAGAAAAACCTTAAGATAGGCATATATTTAGGAAGAATATTGTGAATGATTTAAAGATAATCTCTGGGGGCTGAGGAATGGCTCAGCGGTTTAGAGCTTTTGCAGCTCTTGCAGAGAATCTCGGTTCAATTCCCATCACCCGCATGGTGGCTCACAACCATCTGTAACACGGGTTCCAAGGGATCCGACACCCTTTTCTGACTCTGAGGTCACATACATAGTGACATACATGCATTTGGGCAGAACATCTACACACACACAGCCAAGCCTTAAAAAAGATTTTAAAGATAAAAATTTTATCTCTGATCAAGCAGATTTTTACAAATGACTTTAGTTAGCTTTACGCCTTCCGAGCATTTGCTGAACAAAAGAATTTTCCAATGGAGACTCATATTAGGTCAGCTGTAAATTACAATGCTTTCGAACTGAAACTATGTGACCTGCAAAAATGACAATCTGCCCTGGCAGCTGCCACCAAATTCCCAGACCCTGCAATCGAGAGACAGAGTCCTTTCTAATTTTAAGCACCTAATTTGGAACACATGCTTCTTTGGCAACTGGACATCAACTTTTCAACCTACCTTTTTCCCTTCCTGATGGGAGATGCAGACCTCGGGACTTGGGGGCACATTCTCCTTTTGTTCCAGTTTATGAGTTTTGATCTCACCACCACTGGCTTTCAACTCATTCTACAAAACAAAAATATCCTGTGAACTTGAAATACTTACCATTCCACTGTCTTCACAGCACATCTTTCAAATAAACTTGGAACGTTAAAAAAAAAAAAAAACTCTCAGAACTCAAGTCAAGCCCCTGTCACAAGCAAAACCCATCGACTAGTGAAATGACAAAAGCAGCTGTGTGGACACATACATACCTCCGAGTTAAATGTCTGTACGCCCGACTCAAAGTGGATGCCCGCTAGAATACAGACGCATCAACACGGTCACCCAGAGGCCACCCCCAGCACACCGCATTCTGTGACTCACGCTTCTAGCAGCTTAGCTTGTGAGAATGCAAAGCTTGTGAATTTACGGGAAAGACCATTTTGGAGCAGGGAAAGGAAATGCCAAGTGCCAACAATCAAGAAAATATACTGACCATACATATAAATGCCCGGCCTGGAAAGAAAGACAGGGATGATGGACACATATAAAAACCGAAATTACACTGAATGATACCATAAACAATCTTTTTCTATGGAACTTGCAAAAAAAAGTTTTATACATAAAATTCACAAAGGTATAGGTTGATCTATATTTCATAACCGAGCCTCAGCATTAAAAAGCATGTATTAGTATTGCCATAAGGACTGAGGAGAATAATCCTGTCTCTTTTCCTTGTAAAGGCTACTGGGAGTAGAAACTTAAAATGAACTCGTCTACTAGATCTGAAACCAACAAAGGGGGAGAGGAAGATGGATGTTTCCTAGCTTTGCTGGGCTTTCTTTCCTATGAACAGTCCTACTCCCCCTTCTGACAGGCTCTCATGTAGTTCAGGCTGTCTTCAAACTCACTACGCAGCCAAGGATAACCTTGAACTTTTGCTCGACCACCCCTCAAAGGCTGGAGCAGCCAGTGTTTGTCACTACACTCCATGTAATGTGGCACTTGTGGATAAACTCAAGACTGTGCCTCAGAAAGCTCTCTGCTAGCTCAGTCACGTTCCCAGTGATTCTTCAGGCTTGGGGACAAACAAGCCACCTAAGGCCACAGGGCTAAGGGACATAGAGTGTGATGGTTCTGCTCAGGCCAGCGACTTCAGAGTGGGCAGTCTCTGCTCTGCAGGTGCTCCTACTAGGAGGAGATGGCCGCCAGCACTGCAGAACACATCCTGACACCCATTCATCTATTGTCTGTCTATCTGCAAGCTCCCCTAAGCTATCCAGGATGTGCTCTGTTCTGTAAGGGATTTCAGACATTCTTTGAGAGTGAGATAAAAACATACTTTTCACAAGAATTCCTAAAAAATTCTCAACTCTTGAAGGCCCCAGAGCAGAACTTTAAGGAAGAAACTCTACTAGGAGAATTCATTTAGAGGTAGGATCTCTGTGGCCTTGCAGTCCTGCAACCGGCTTCAAACTTCAGCCATCCTGTGTTGCAATATACCCCTTGAGGTTTGGTTTGGTTTGGCTTAAGCTAAGGCTGTAGCTCAATTGGCACAGCCCTTGCCTAGCAAACATAAAGCCCTGGGTTCTACCCCCAGCCCCAAATAAAACCATGTGTAGTGGCACTGTAACTCAGGCTCTTAGGAGTTGGAGGCAGGAGGGTCAGGAGTTCAAGACCAGCCTTGGCTACACAGGCATTTTGAGGTCAGTCTGGGATACACCAAACTATTTCCAAATGAAGAGCAAAAAACCAGCCAGCAAGAAGATGCTTGTCAGGGCCAGGCCTGCTGCTCTTTCCAGTGTGCTAAAAACAACAACAACAAAAAAAACAAGGTCACTGAACAGGTTTTCCTGGCCTGAGGAGTCATCTGGGAAGAATGTTTGCACAGACAAACAGATACCTCCAGTAAGCTTTGCCCCTCACCCATCTCCGTGCCTCCTGATCTACACTCTGAGTCTACTCTGCTCATTTTTCACACTTAGTAAACTCTGGGCATTTCACTCTATTGATTTATGTACACTGTCCCTTATTAAAACTACTGTGAAAAATTGGAGTAAGAGATGAGGGTGTTGTTCAGTGGTCGAGCACGTGTCCAGCATATGTAAAGCTGTGATTTCAATCCTCAGAACTAGAGAGACAGAGAGAGGCAGAGAGAAACAGACAAAGAAAGAAACTGTCTCAGAGAATAGCTCCATCATTACTATTGGGGACTACATAATTATGTGGGGGGAAAAGTTTTAACTTCTGGAAGACACATTATGATCTTGAATCTGCACAGTTTTCGGTCTGCTCAGGAGCAAATAAAATAATATTATTCTCCCAACATTGTTAAGAACTTTGGTCATGAATAGGCACAGAAGGAACCAGCTTATGCAGCCTCAAAAAATGAGAACCTGGGCTAGGGATGCCCCTTAAATGTTATTTCACTTCTCCAGCATGTGTGAGGTCCTGGGTTCAGTTTCCAGCAGTACAGCAGACAGACAAAAAGAAGATGTGATGATATCCTGTGCTCCTGTCTCCTGAGTATTCGGGAGGGAGGTTGAGGCGAGACGAGCCCTGTGACTTTACCGCTAGGTTACAGAGTAAAATCTTAGCTCAAGCCAAGCCCAGCACTAAGGAGGCAGAGGCAGGCAGATTTCTGTGAGCTCCAGGCCAGCCTGGTCTATAGAGCGAGTTCTTAGACAGCCAAGACTACATGGTGAGATCCTGACTCAAAACAACAACAACAACAAAAAAAGAACAGGTTTTTGGGCTGGGGGTATGGTTTTGTGTTTACCCTGCATATATGACATTTAGATTTAACACTTAGCACTATGTGTGTGTGGTGTGTGTGTAGAATACCAAATGTTTTCATTCATCAAGCACATCATCTCCCTGTCATTCCACAGGGATTTTCTAACACACTATTCCTCCTCTGCAGGAAATTACGACATCATGTGGGTTAGAGGTTGAGTAGATCATACAGAGCTCCTCTCATATTGGGAACTAAATCAGGAGCCTCAGGCATGCTGGGCGAGTGTTGTGCCATGGAGCCACACCCCCAGCTCCGGCTCTCCCAGAACCCCTTTTAATGAAACGTCCAGGATGTGCAGATTCATAGATGGAAAGCAGAGAAGAGCTTCAGTGGGTAACTATACAGATACGGAATTATTTGAGGGATGACAGAAAGGGTTGGGAATTAAGACAAGAGTTATGGTTGTACAACCTTGTAAATAAACTAAAGAAAAAAATCACCTAGGTGTGTACTTGGTTTGTTTTTCCCTGTGGAGTCTGGGATCAGAGCCCGGGTCTCAAGCAAGGTAGGCAAGGGCTCCACCATTGAGATACATCCTCGGTCAGCATGTGCTTCAACAAAATGGTGGTTTTATGTTATGTGAACAATAGTTTGATGAAACTCACAATAGATGTTTCCATTAAAGCTAATAAAACATTGATTCTTTATCAGTGACAATGAAAAAGTTCAGTAGACAAGCCAGGAAAAGTCTTGATATCTCAGCTGGTAACATCACATAAAATGAGTGAGGTCTGAATACGTATGCATGAGCTGGGGGAGCAAAATCAAGACTGGAAAATGTACGCTTACAAAGGAAAGAGGGGGTATAGGACTTATGAAAAGGGGATGGGCCAGGGTCAGGGGTCAGAGCCCAGGAGACATTTCCTAGTTACAGCACTCATGATGGCTGTCTGGAGGAGCGAGTAAGAATTGTGCAGGTGTTGGGGAACGGGACAGGATTTCCTGAGGGGGATGGGAGTATGGGGGGAGGTGAGAGGGAGCTGGGAGAAAGAGAGGGGTTGAAGAAGAGGGGAGAGGAGGACATGGGGGAGCAAGAAGGTTGAGTTGGGGAAAGAACAGAGGAGAGCAGGATGAGAGATACCATAATAGAGGGGGCCACTCTAGGTTTGAGGAGAGATCTGGCACTAGTGAGATTTCCAGAGATCTATAAAGATGACACCAACTGGCAAACTAACCAATAGTGGAGAGGCTACCTTAAATGCCCTTCCCCGATAATATTACTGATGACTACCTTGTATACCATCCTAGATCCTCCATCCAGTGGCTGATGGAAGCAGAGGGAGATACCCACAACTAAACACTGAACTGAACTGGAATCCAGTTGCAGAGAGGGAGGAGTGATGAGCAAAGGGGTCAAGACCAGGCTGGTGAAACCCACAGAAACAGCTGACTTGAACAAAGGGGAGCTCATGGACCCTAGACTGATAGCTGAGAGGCCAGCATGAGACTGATCCAGACCCCCTAAACAAGGGTGTCAGTGAGGAGGTATCAGCATTCTTTGGGGCCTTGTCCAATAGATCAGTATTTATCCCTGACATCCAAATGGACTTTGGAAGCCCACATCTCATGGAAAGATGCTCTCTCAGCCTGGACACATGGGGAAGGGCCTAGCCCCTGCCCTGGGACGATATGACAGACTTTGGAGATTCCCCCATAAAGGGCTTCACTCTCCCTGGAGAGTGGAGTGGGCATTGGGTGGGGGATTGGGGGAATTGGGGGCGGAGGAGGAGGGGAGTAAGAGGGAGCCGGGATTGACATGTGAAGTAAGCTTGTTTCTAATTTAAATAAAAAAACAGGTATTAAAAAAAAAAGAATAGTGCAGGTACACATCTTAAATCCTAGTACTCTGGGAGGCAGAGACAGGCGGATCTCTGTGAGTTCAAGGCCAGCCTGATCTACAGAGCGAGTTCTAGGACAGCCAAGGCTACACAGAGGAAACCCTATCTCAAAAACAAAAACAAAAAACAAACCACCCAAATAAAACAAAACCCCAAGCAGTTCAGGGCACATACTGTGTAGCTGGCTGAGCTGCTCTGCTTGGACACAGCAGCCTGGTACTTGGCCATGCGATCCTTGATGGAAGTTTCTGAGAGGCGAGGGAGCTCCAGGCTCCGCTTGCTCTCATTCTTCTCCAAGTTGAATGCGGAAGATGACAAATAACCTGGAAATGTGCAAATCACACACTGTTAGAGGATAAAAGGCGATTCTGGGTGACTGCAATCTAATGTACAGAAAGGCCAGGTATGGTTCTTGTCTGTAGTCCCAGCACAGAGGAGGCTGAGGCAGGAGTGCCACACATTCAAGGACAACCTGGGCTACACAGTGAGACCCTGTTTCAAAAAACAAAAAATCCAAAAACCAAAAAAGACCCAAAACCAACAACCAAAAGTACACACATACAAAGAAAACCAGAAATACAATTGTCTTTTATAAGATATTTTTAATTCATTCCTAAGAGAACCTTTGCCATAAATGTACATTTTATATACACATACACACTCATACACACACACACACACACACACACACACACGTACACACAATTTGAACATTTTTATTCACTTATCTTTTGTGCTTGTACCAAACAAAATTTTTTTGTTGTTATTTATACTAAGCACCTGACTACACAAAGCTACACCACCAGCTCTGGGATAACCAATCTTTTTTTTTTTTTGGTTTTTACGAGACAGGGTTGCTCTGTATTGTTTTGGAGGCTGTTGGTCTAGCCTGGCCTCGAACTCACAGAGATCCGCCTGCTTCTGCCTCCCGAGTGTTGGGATTAAAGGCGTGCGCCACCACTACCCGGCCTGGGATAACCAATCTTGGCCAGGGATTTAGTCCATCTATTGAAATCCTCCAGTTCCAGATAACTGTGGAGTCCAAGTGTCTATAGCACTTCACCTGTTACCGCTCAGAGGTACCCAAGGATGGGTTAAAAATGCAAAGAAAGCACCCTGGACATGCTGTGCTCATGTCGGCAATCCCAGGACTGGGGAATCAGACTGGAGGGTCAGAAGTTCAAGGTCAACTAAGTCAGCCTGGGCTAGAGACTTTGTCTGAAAAGACAAAAATAAAAATCGGGCAGGGCGTTGGTGGCGCAGGCCTTTAATCCCAGCACTCGGGAGGCAGAGAAAAGGTGGATCTCTGTGAGTTCGAGGCCAGCCTGCTCTACAGAGTGAGTTCCAGGACAGCCTCCAAAGCCACAGAGAAACCTTGTCTCGAAAAACCAAAAAAAAAAAAAAAGAAAAAAGAAAAAAAGAAAAAAAAAAAAAAAGAAGCACAGGTTTTGAGTGCAAAAGGTTCGCTGTAACTGAGTTGCTTCTCACTCAGAGGACTTCATGCTTTCTGCTTACTTACCAGGACTTATTTCCAAGTCATCCAGGGAACGGCTGTTTTCAGAGATCCTTTTTCCACCTGCATTTCGGCTTTGAGTCCAAGGAATCTGTTCAGAGAATGGGAAATACTGATATAACACTCAAAACACCTTCATTAGCAAAACCCAGAAGATTAGAACATTTTAAATATCGAGCAGCATATATGGAGAAAAAAGTGACTCTATAAACAAAGCCCATTGCTATTACACAGTTGGAAAGCTGGGGGGAAGAGTCCTCATATCTCAGGTGACAATGACATGTCCCTTAAGACTGCCAAGGCACAGGCAGCACCCCTCCATCTCACTGTGCCCCACTGTCGACGCCCTGGCAGTCTTCACCATCGCTCTCCTTAACAACCCCATTATCTTCTTCTTCTTCTTCTTCTTCTTCTTTTTTTTTTTTTTTTTTTTTTTTTTTTGGTTTTACGAGACAGGGTTTCTCTGTATTGTTTTGGAGGCTGTCGGTCCAGCCCGGCCTCGAACTCCCGAGGCAGAGAACCGCCTGCCTCTGCCTCCCGAGTGCTGGGATTAAAGGCATGCGCCACCACTGCCCGGCTCCCCATTATCTTCTTAACTGGTTCTTTTTCCATATTCTCATCTAGGCTTGTCGAGGCTGCCAATACCCAAACTAATAAAAAGTAATTATTCTAAATCTGTATCTCCCTGAACTCCCCCACTCAAAATTCTTTCAGAATCCCCAATCACCCTTGAGTATCACTGCAAGTATTCAGTACATTCCAGGCGACCCTCCTGGGCAGGTCAGTGCCCACCCAGCCTCCTCCCTGGGTATTCTGTGACACATCCTTTATCCTTCAGGGAACTCAAACTGCTCTGAGGACCTTGGCATAGTAAATGATGCCCCCTGCACCCATATCATGTGTTTGTCCTTCTATCTAGCAAACGTTATTCCTTCAAGACTCAACATCACTTACTTCTATATACATACAGCTACTCCTTCCCATAGTCTGAAGGTGCCCAGCCCTCCCATTGGCTGGCTGGCCCACTGAGGGTGATACACACATCCAGGATTTGTAGATTATAGCATTATTCATTTGTTTGTTTGCTTTTTATTTATTTAATTTTGAGACAGGGTTTCTTTGTGCAGCTCTGACTATCCTGGAACTCTCTGTAGACCAGGCTAGCCTTGAACTCAGAGATCTGCCTGCCTCTGCTTCCCCAGTGCTGGGATTAAAGGCAAACGCCACCACAGCCTGACGATTGTAGCATGATTTGTTTCTTCAGGTGCTGGGGACTGAACCTGGGGACTTGCACACACCAGGCAAGTGCTGTTCTGTACACTGACCTATGCTGCAGACACTGGGCACAGATTTGTTTTGAGTAAAGGATTTTGTGATTTTTGAAATCCTAACACTTTGCGTCTCATGTTTTGGAGAGACCTTTAATTATAGTTACAAATTAGGTTGAGTGTAGTGACACACACCTGTAATTAATGTTACAGTGTGTGGAGGCAGAGGCAGGGGGATCAGTAATTCAAGGCCAGATTCTACAAATACACGAGGCTACAGAAGAACTTGCCTCATAAAACCCAAAATACATCTCATTCTGTCATGTCAGCCTCTAGCCAGATCCTCCCATTCAAATATCTATTTCCAGGCAACTAGAAGTAGGGGTTATGTGAAAGCCAGTGTGTCAGGAGGTAAGAGGCACTTCCCTACACCTCTCCCTCCTTCCTCCCTACACCTCTCCCTCCCTCCTCCTCACCCCCCCTTCCAGGTTGAGGATCAAATACAGGGCCTCAAATATCCTGGGTAAGTGCTCTGCAATTGAGCATTTTGAGTTCAATACATGAGAAACTTCTTTCTTAAAAATCAAAAGTAGAGCACTTGGGAGGTAGAGGCACCCTGTCTCGAAAAAACAAAAAACAACAACAACAAAATAAAAAATAAAAAATAGTTAGCCAGGCAAGGGTGGTTAGCCAGTCCTGGCTGCCGGTGAAGTCAAGCTTCCACCAAGGGTGTGAGACGCAGTGGCCACCTATCACAGGGATAAGACAGGAGCCCTTCTGGCCTGGTGTGCTGTTAGTGCCAAAGCACTCTCTGTACAAAAGCACCGCCTTGCTGAGCTGTTTCCCATTCCTCTGTGTGTTCCTTTGAATGAGCAGCGGCTTTATCATTTGTTTGTCTCATTAATAATCACTAATAAAAGTTATTACACTCTTAATTACAATGAGCTGACTTCAAAAAATTAACTACGTATTTAAAACAATTGATTCCTTGCTAGCCCTAATTATCCTGTACTTAAATATTTCAAATAAAAACCAAAATAAAGCTGGGAGTGGTGACTCATACCTGTAATCCCAGCACCTGGGAAACTGGGAGAAGGGCTGCCCTGGGTTCCGGGTCAGAATGAGCTATAAAGAAAGACCTTGTTTCATAAAACCAAAATAAATAAAGCCCTAATGTTGCCACATCATACTCGGGTCAGATCCACTCACATCAACCACATCTGTATGACTTTTTTTTTTGGCTCAATATGTCTGACTCTGGGAAAGAGGAAAACCGAGAGCAGACATGGAAGTCAAGGTCAGGCAGGACACACGCTACCCACAGTACTGGTCCTGTAGAGGCCAAGCGTTGAAGGTTTGGACCCAGCTTGGTGCTGGAGGAGGTGGTGAAACCTTGCAGGGGGTGTCTAAGTAGGAGAGACAAAATAAACTCCAGCGTGGAACTCACTATGAAGACCAGGATGGCTTTGAACTCACAGAGCTCCTCCCGCCTCCAGCCACTCGAACCTTGGGATTAAAGGTGTGTACTGCCGTGACTGGCTAGGTTCCTCACTCTTCACAGAGGAATTTACATTCTTCCAAAGATGAAATTCAAGTACAAATCCAAGACTGTGTTCTGAGCTGCAACTGGCAAGCTCACCTTTGGTCCTAGGTCCACGCCTCCGCCTTTTGTTAGGTTCTACCCTAAATAAGGGAACAAACCGTGCCACTGCAGAGCTTTCCCTTTCATTTCGCAAGAATAAGGCGCCCCATCTTTGCTAGCTTCTACTTAAGCTAGGCACTCTAGAGGTAAAGAGTAGAGGAACATCCTGAGACTGAGGTCATCCTCTTACATAGTCAATTCCAGACCAGTCAGGGCAACACAGAGAGACCCAAAAGGATGGGCGTGGTAGCACAGGTCTCTGTTTTCAGCACAGGGAAGTGAAGGAGGAGGATTGGGTGCTGAAGGTCATTCCCAGCAAATACATGGTGGCTCACAAACACCTATAATGAGATCTGGTGCCCTCTTCTGGCCTGCAGACATACATACACTGTGTATATAATAAATAAATCTTTAAAAAAGAAAACAGAAAAAAAAATTACTGGTCTGGCCAGGCAGTGGTGGTACACTCTTTAATTCCAGCACTCAGGAGGCAGAGGCGGGTGGATCTCTGTGAGTTGGAGGCCAGCCTGGTCTACAAAGCAAGTTCCAGGACAACCACAACAGTTACACAGAGAAACCCTGTCTTGAAACCCCCCCAAACAAAACAAAACAAAAAAACAAAAACAAAAACAAAACCCCTGAGAACTGGTCTGGGTCTGGTGGAGTAGGATTAGAATCCAGATCCTTGGGAAGCCACAGATGGCCTGGGACAGCAGTTCAAGGCTAGCCTGGGGCAAGGAGAATGAGCAAAGACATCTGGTGGTGGAAGAACCTTTGGCAATCTGTTGATTAGACTGGTTCTGAGGAAGAATGTGACTGTGACCTGGCAGCTGCAAGGGCCCAGCAGGGGCTGGAGCTATCACTTTCAACAGCTACCTTCAGACCAGAGGGGCTACGAACGTAAGATACAGATAGAGTGCATTTCATAGCAGCACCTCTCGAGGGTATAACAGGGAGCAAGTCCAAAGAGAACAACACACACACACACACACACACACACACACACACACACACACCTCTGCCACAGATTTCTATATCATTCCGGCCTTTTTGACTTGGACACAAGGACACTCCAGGAGTGTTACACTCTGCGAAACAGAGACAAGACGTTTTATCTTAGGGCTTTGTGGAATTTCCCAAGGCTTGGCTCGCCCCACCCTACAAGTTCTCCTCCCTGTCAGCTGGCTGTGCCGTGCCTCATGTGAACGCCTCTAGAGTACTTTCTGTGAATTCAACAGTCAAATATATTAACATATACCAACAAGAGTATGCACTTAGAGCTTTTAGCCAGGAGTCTGTAGAATATTTTTTCCTAGAATTAAAAAAAAGAAAGAAAGAAAGGAAACTGCGTTCCAAATGATTAGCAAGGCAGATAGCCTATCTTTTTTTTTGTGTGTGTGTGGTTTTTCGAGACAGGGTTTCTCTGTGGCTTTGGAGACTGTCCTGGAACTAGCTCTTGTAGACCAGGCTGGTCTCGAACTCACTGAGATCCGCCTGCCTCTGCCTCCCGAGTGCTGGGATTAAGGTGTGCGCCACCAACGCCGGGCCAGGTATCCTATCTTATCTGCCCTTATTTTCAGGGTAATTATTTCCCTCTGTAGCTCAGGTGTGTCTGAACTCATGGCAATCCTCCTGCCTCAGTCTCTTAAGTGCTGGGGTTACAAGCATGGGACACCACGTTCAGTCAGATGAAAGTGCTTGCTGTATAAGCACAGAGATGGAGTTGGGATCCCCAGGACGTATGTTAAAACCAGGTGTGATGATGCATGTGTGTAACCCCAGTTCTAGCATGGACCGATAGGTGGGTCCCTGGAGCCTGCCATTGGCTGAGCTCAGATGCAGTGAGATCAGTGAGAGACCTGGTCTCAAAACAAAAAAGGTTGCCGAGACAGGGTTTCTCCATGTAACAGCCCTGGCTGTCCTGGAACTCACTATATAGACCAGGCTGGCCTTGAACTCACAGAGACTCTCCTGCCTCTGCCTCCCGAGTGCTGGGATGAATATTGTACGCCATGGGCCACTCACTACACCTGGCAAAACGGGTTCTCAAGCCAGGTGTTGTGGTGTAAGCCTGAAATCCCAGCTTCCAGGAGGTGGAGGTAGGAGGATCAGGAGTCAACGATGGATTTCAGCCTGGGCTACATGAGATCCTGTCTCCTCCCCCAAAAGACGACTGTCAGA